GTGATTTGTTTCCTGTTGTTGTTCCAATGCTTTATGAATCGTTTTCAAAACGATGCCAACGCTAAACTCACCATCAATATTTCGTTTATCCATTCTGATTTCACATCGTATATACATTAATTATACTCTTTATTAAAAGTTGCATTTACATAATTATAAATTCTTTATTCACCCGTGAATTTCCAGATATCAGTTTTAAACAATATATGGAGAACTTACAACGCTAGAAACCAGGTAGCCCATTGCGTAGCTTTGTGCTTAACTTCAAACAAACAAACTTTTGCAAATGTGCCGCAACTAATTTTGCTATTTTATTTTATCATTTCGTAAAAATAATGACCACGAATTTAAATATTATGTTATATGTATATTTTAATCTTTTAATAAGTTGTTACCAGAACGTGTAGCAACGTAAAGTTATAATCTAAACAACCAACAAAGTTTAGATTGAATTATTTTCCGAGTAAAACCACACAATTATTCTGTGTCTGCATATTATTCTCGAAACTACACTGAATAAAGTACTTCAAAAGAAGTTTCGTTATGATATCGACAGTGAGTAAATAGAGAAAACTTACGCGAAGTTCGTACTATATCACACTACATGAAAGTAGTGTCGTTTATATCATTAAAGAAAGGAGAGTGTTCATATAAAATTGCTGTCTTATTAAGAACCACTTTGTTGTTAATTATTGTTCTGTTTTGTTCTTAAATATTTCAGATACCTACGGGTTTCATCAAATTCCACCGGGACAGACAACAAGAAAATCGAACGTACGTGCTGGAAAACGACTTGTGATAGACATCAGGACTGAAAAATGTGTGCGCTTTTAAAACTTCATCGTAATGTGTTTATGGTGATATTAGTTTGTGGTTTTTTTTTATCTATGGCTTTATTCACTTCAAGAAACTACATCAAGATTATGACAGAAGGGTATGGTACCCTGAAACATGGTAGGCAGGTGCTAGGAACTTATTCTCTCTCATCTGTGGGTATACACATATATATATTTTAATATATACGCATACATACATACTGAAAGAGAAATATCAAAAAATACTTAAATTTTCGTGAATACTTGAAATTTCAGTAAGCTTTGGAATGAAAATCGTCACGTATTGAGAGTGTTTAATATTGATATAAATCAAACCATCGATATTGGAATAAACCGGGTTATCTCCAAATACTACTCAACAGAATGAATCTTATTAGCATGCTAGATTTAAGAGAAAACAATTATATTAGCTATAACGCAATAAGTCATCGCTATATGATTTGTCTCATAACTATAAGAAGTTATTATCGTGGAAACTCTGACAGTTGACTCCAACAGAGAAAATAAAATCCTGTATTTCTACCGAAATTAGATACTATTCTATTTTGTTGTGTAGGAATTAACACATTATGTGTTCGTACTAAGTGGTTAGCGTGTCGGAGTGTAAATCCGAAGGTCCATGGTTCGCGTCCCGTTGCAGACAAATCGCTCTATGCATTTTGGGAGCTGTGGTCGTGTTATTTGATTAGAGTAGCCCAAAAGTGTTATTGACTATCTGCCTTCTCTGTAGTCTATTTTGTTCAAAATTAGGAACATCTATTATCGATAACCCTTATGAAGCTTTGCCCAAATATCCGAAACAAAACCGAATAAAAAGTAATGGTTATGACATCCTTCTATTCTGATGCCTCTTCAACATTGCCATAATGTCTCGATTTCAACGAGTTCGGCAAGCACACCGTGTATTCACAGGAAAATTAGTTTATGTTTCACTTAGACAAAACAAATCTGAGAGTAGTATAAATATTGTTTACAACGTCTCTCCCCCCTCTTTTTTTTTTTACAATGTCGGTTATGAAAACACCAACAGAGTCTGTAGAAATTGTAGATTTTATTAACAGCAGGATTATTTTTGTGTATCATTTGTACCTCCATGGTATCATAGGATATTTATTATCAGTCAAATCAAATATCTACATAAATATATGATCATTTTAATACATTTCAATGTCTTTATCCTTGAGCCCGTCATGACCTGGTGATTAGAGCACTCGACTCGAAAGTTGCGGGTTCGAATCCCGTAACCGAACATGCTCACCTCTTCGGTCGTGAGGGGCATTATAACGTGAGGGTAAATCCCTATATTCATTGGTAAAAGAGTAGCCAAAAGCTTGGCGTGAGTGATGTTGAATAACTGCCTTCCATCTAGTCTATCACTGCTAAATTAGAGATGGCGTGTGCATACAGCCCTCGTGTAGCTTTCCGCGAAATTCAAACCAAATCTATCATTTTTTCTACTCTTTATTCTGAATATTTAACATAAAATCCCATTTCCTCTTCCATTTTCACTTTCCATCACAAACTCAATCTTCTCTGGCATGACATCGTTTGCTCTTCTCTTCTTTCTTATCACTCTATAAGCTTAGCTTTCCACTCATAGTTGGCATCAAGTTTCTTCTTTATACTACTATTTGATCTTTGCTCCTTCTATGATCCGCTTCACGTTTCCATTCATCCTCCCAAAATTCATAAAACTATTACACAATCCTGCCACGTTTCATCATCCTTTTCTCTTCGTTTCGTTGTTCCGTTATTTACCATTTTCTTAAATGAATTGTCATCTTCTTTCGTATACAAAACATTTATCTTCCTCCTCCTTCTTTACCCTTTGTTCTCTTATTTCCTTCAGCAATATTTCTTTATTTATTGTTTTTTTTATATATACACCGCACATTCTCTCCTTCTTGTTTTTTACTTCCTTTTAATAATCACTTTTCTCCATTTCATTCAAAATCGTGGCCTTTGACTATTTTTTATTAAATCTCACACTCGCCTTCTTTTCCTTCTCCTTATCTCTTTTGAGTACTTTAAACAATCTTGATTCCTTTAATTTAGTACTACTTAGTAGTACTTCACAGTACACTTCCAACCCTTCAAATTCCCTCCTTTTTACAAAATAATTTCTCTTTGTTTTATTCAAATTTTATTATTATATGTCTTGGCCACTTTCTTCGTTCCATTCCAACTGAATGTGTTCAAGCATCTCCCAATAGAACGTACCCCTTCGTCTTCCCCATTATTTTTGCAACGTTTCTTTTGACTTTCGTAGGTTTCTTTTCAATTCTTCTTAACTCATTTGGTTGTTCAATTCTGTCTCCTACGCCTATTTTATAATTACTTAATTGGTTTTTAAGGACCCTATTAATTGTATCCTGATCTTCTACTTAAAACTGCATATTTTATGTTCTCATATCTTCTGTTTTACTATGTTTATTCTTAATCACATTCGACCGGAATCATATTCAACCATATACAATATCCCAAAACTCCCCCAAAAACTTGATTAGTTTCGTTCATCTCAACCATGCTTCTGGTGATAGGTTAGGAGTAGCTTCACTGAAATTGATTCAATCTGAGATGCTGAGATATTTTTTCGTACCAGAAACTTTTTTTGGGAAGTACAGTGTTAAAATCCGGGTTTCGATTACCTGCGGTGAACCAAAGCAGATAACCCAATGTGGTTTTGCTCTTAAAATAAATCAAACAAACCATACTGATGAGCAATTTTTTTTTCGCTTCCATTTAGAATAGTGAAGGCTTCTTTCTTCAAATTGCTGTGTTATTTAGCTCTACTTTGGTTAAAAGTATAGCCATTAGCATTGTTTTGTTGTTTTTTTAATTTCGCGCAAAGCTACACGAGGGTTATCTGCGCTAGCC